ATTTAATTGATTCTGATTGGTGAATATTTGGGCTCCGGAATCAGATCGGAAAGGATCTACAGTGATCTACAGCTCGGAATTTTCTTGACATAAGGGAACCCGTGATCTACAGATCTAATAATCCTGTTTAAACAGGTTTGTTAATATTGAATAAACTATTTTAGATTGTTTTGATTTTGTGTAACAAAAGTTTTCTCAAAACTCGTGATTAGCCAAATTCCCTGGTTTCTACTTTTGACGCCCCATATAAGTCTATGAAAAAGTATTTTTAGTTTACTATAATATTTTAATTCAGGTCTTTCTATGAAAAATAACGATTGTGATGTACTAAAGCCTTAACCCGAACATGATAATTCATTTAACTTTAAATGGGGGGTCCCACAGCAAAAGCCGGCGATGGGCCCAACCAATCAAAATTGAGATTTTAAAACAATTAATTTTTTTAGGATCTAAACTTTCATAAAAGTAATTTTTTTATTATAATATAAGTAAAAAAATACAAATTTATATATTCGTTAAAAGAATCCAAGAAAAATTGATCTACGTATGTACGTGTATGTATCTATCAGCTATGTTACGTACAGTACATACGTATCTGTCATTTATTTACTGTTACGCCATATCGATATCTGATATTGCACATACCATTCTAGTAACAGAAGACTATTTACGGTAGTAAATTCTTGTAAGAACCTGTTAAATGTATAGGTTAATTAGTGCATAATTGTCATTATACAGATAGCGATAGCTGATACCGATACGCAACATGCGTATGTAAAATATAGAAACAATGATAAAATTTTTTCACATCTTACTTTTTAATTTTAACAATAAGAATGGAATACAATATATATTCTAGCGATCAAAATACAAATGAAGTTATTCTGACTGCTTTAAACGATTTAGAAAATACATTTTTCATCGAACATTCAGATTCTGAAGAGAGTTCCGTATCAGATAATGATAATGATGAAGAAATTCTCGAGATTGACGATGATATTAGCTTAGATAGGTTAAATAAATTTGAATTTGTAGAAGTTCCTGAAAATTATATTGAAGATAAAGTTTATGATGATTTGAAAGTAACAATTAAAAAATTTTTTGAAAAAAAAAATGTTCATGCCATTCCGAACAAACATGCTTTGATCAAATTGGTTATGACCGATTTCTTGCGCGTCGAGCTGAATTTGAAAGTTTGGATAAAAACATGCGAGATATGGTTATTAAAGGGCAGCTCATGGCTTTTCAAAAAAATGAAGATACGAAAAAAGTTTCTAATAAAAAATACTCGCGTTTTCGTTATTGTTATAATAATAGCATTCAAGTTTGTCGTGATACATATTTTGCTCTTGTAGGAGTTGGCCATACATATTTAGAAAATATCATAAAGCATTTACGGGAACACGGTCTTGAAGAACGTACACATGGGAATACAGGTAGAGCCCCAAAAAACATGAAGCGTGTTGAAGTAAATTATAGTGTAGCATGCGATGTATTTACGTTTTTAAAAAACTATTCGGATATACATGGTATGCCCTCACCTGGACGACATTTTAAAGAAATTTCTATGCCGATTGTGTTTCTTCCCACCAGTTACAACTATGCTTCGGTATACCGTGATTATGTGCAGGCCACTAAAGATAAGTATGGCAAAGATGTTCACGTTATTGCTGAATCAACTTTTACCAACATTTGGAAAGCTTTGATACCGTCTCTTCAATTTATGTCTCCGAAGTCTGATTTGTGCGAAACTTGTGAGATGATAAAAATGGATATTCAATATGCTACACAGCATGAAAAAAAATTAGAACTTACTGAGAATTATTTGGCACATTTAAATCGTGCGCAAAAAGAACGTGACTATTATAATAAGAATATTGTAAATGCAGTTGTAGATGGTAAACGCAATCAAATTACAGTTGAATCTCAAGTATCATTCCAAACTTTTGAAGGAATTGCTCATATCGCATATGACTGGGCCCAAAATGTACAAATACCCTATTCACCGCAGCAAGTAGGATCATTATACTTCAAAAGTCCTCGAAAAGTACACTTATTCGGTGTTTGTAATACAGGTAACTTTCCCAATGCACAACAAACTAATTATGTAATTGACGAAGCCGAAATGCCTGATGATGGCAAGCAAGGAAAAGGGGTAAATTGTACTCTAAGCTTGGTTTGGCATGCAATCCAAAAATATAACCGTGGAGAAAAAAAATTAATTGTCACGTGCGACAACTGCGTCGGTCAAAATAAGAATAATTATTCGCTATTTTTTTATTCATGGTTAATTGACCGTGGCATATATAATGAAATTGAATTGAATTTTATGATACCTGGACACACCAAATTCATCTGTGACGGCTGTTTTGGCCTAATTAAAATCCTTTATCGGAAAAGTAAAGTGAATACCGTCGATGATATAGTATCAATTGTTAATCGTTCCACAACAGTTAATCTTAATGTTGCTCAACGTTATTTAAATGGAGAAGGTTTTCATTATTTTGATTTTAAAACTTACTTTCAAACATTTAAAAAGCTGCCTAATATTCAAAAATATCATCACTTTTACTTTACTTCACAATACCGGGTGTCGTTTCTTACAAAGACAGTCTTGAAGATAATTACAAAACTTTTACAATGCGTTCATTTTCTTTCGATGCAAATGCTCTACCTCCTACAATCAATACCAAGCTGCTTTCTCTTAAGAGACAAGAAGAATTGTATAAAGAAATTGCGCCCCATGTTGATTTACCTTTTCGTGATATTACTTGTCCAAAGCCAGAAGAATTAAAAACAAGTTAATTAAAAAATTTTGTTTTTCGCTAGTTCCGGAATTTCATTAATTTAATTATAAAATTTTGTTTTTCGCTAGTTCCGGAATTTCATTAATTTAATTATTCATTAACTAAATTATTAGATTGAACGTGAATATAGAAATGAATTAGGCTATTACGATTATTGAAATGAGGTTCGGGTATAAAATACTGGTGGATAAAAAGTGCTGTGCTGCAAAAAATGCTGTGCCGCAAAAAAATGCCATGTCGCAAAAAAGATTTTTTATATAAAGTGAAAATTTTTACATAAATAGTTAAACAAACAAGGCCAAGATCGGAATTAAATAGTTTTTTAAGAGAATTAAAAAGTTTAAAAAAAAAATATTATTAAATATCGAGGTTTCGTTACTGGAATTTATGCGCCACATGATAATTTTTATTAGCACGATAATTAAAAACTGTTAAAATTATGTTGTATTAAATTATACATATATTTACATTTCTGAAAAAATAAAATGTGCGAAAAGTAAACCAATGGTTTAAAAAAAGTTTTTGTTCTAGATTTGTAAGCGTCATTTTCTCAAAAATTGTCAAAAATTGAAAAATTTTATCATGTGATCAACGTTATCACATGATAATTTAAATCGCGATTTTCTCACAATCATATGATCTTCCTATCGCCGTCTTTTGCTGTGGGACCCCCCAAATATCGATATTAGGGCTGGATAGCCCCGACTCGACTCCAAAAGTCGAGTCTTTGTTAAATGCAGCAGTTGACTCGCATCTGCACATGCATTTAATATATTTAGATAGCATAAAAAAATGTGTATTCATGCATGCTTTGCATGTAGTCGCATTTTTTAAATATACTAGGTGCACGTGCAGATGCGAGTCGAAGTTTCAAGTCTGCTTGGGACCGAACATTTAACAAAAACTCGACTTTTAAATCGATTCGGGACCGGACCGAACTTTTCACATCTCTGGGACTGGGATAACAGGTTCACTATGCTGATTTTTGAAAAATCTTTTTTTTGTTAGGAATAATGACTTTCATTTATTCATTTTTAGAAATTGGTAATACTTTTACAAATTACATTACTATGCCATTACATTATTATGATGAATTACTTCGTATGTACTGCACATACGTACGTTGTGAGGGGCAAAATCAACCCGGAATTTCAAAAATATGTCAATACGGATATCAGTCAATACTAAACTAATCCGAACAACGCACTAACAACCACTAAACTCTATCAAACCCTAAAAGTGGTAGGCATGAAAGAGGCGTTTTAGAATTAAACCCGTGACTTGGTAGTACTAAAAGCCCAAATGACCCGAGTCCCAAGAATATTATGAGGCTCCTAGGTGGCGAATAGAGGCTTAATGACATAGACTAACTCCGATGAGTAATATATTTATGTAATAAGACATGGGTGTCTTGTTTGTATGACAAGAAGCGTAACAACGTATTAGTCACAAATGTTTATGTAAACAAGACATGGATGTCTTGTTGATATAACAAGAGAAGTAATAACGATGTCTTGTTGATAGTAGAGTCTTAGAAGTATGGGATAAAAGATAGCGCAGTGGCTCTTAGCAAATTAAAAGGTATTTAAGGCCTGGGTTTCCGCCTTAGCTGAGTTTCCTCAGACCTTGTATCAAATGATGATTTAGAACCTTCGATGACTTAGTTATAGAGTTTATAATAAGAATCGAATTCTCACATGTATAGTATAGTATTAGTAATTAGTTATTAGTTTAGTTTTATTCTTTTATTATTGTATTATTCTTTATTATTATCATTATCTTGCATTTCTTATATTTTGTTACATAATAAACTACCCCCCGAAATTAAAGTTTGATCTGTTAAGTGATAACCCCGACTCAGTTTAAGAGTTTCGTGACATCGTATAACGTGTATAAGTGTTATAAAATCCCGAACCAAGTTAACCATCGGAACTAAATTGGATCAACATCCACAATTGCTCTCCCAACCAATGGTAACACTAGGGTCAAATAGAGCTCTAGATTACATCACGAGGCTCTAATTCGGAATCACGGGATTAGACTACTAATTATATGCGAATTTGGCTTATCGGGGGTAATTGGAGCGAACGTTTAAGTTGGATGATGGACTTTCAATGAGTCAAACTCTTATGAGTTATGCCAACACTTCGTGAGCTAATTATTATTTTATTGAGACGTAAAAGGTAGTTTTTACATTAAAGTCAAATAATTTCAAACCAGGCCAAATGATCTGCAAATTTGATCAGAGAATTTATCAAAATTCCACAAATCCGCTGATATGTGTAGTTTTTTTAAAAAACATTATTGCCTACGGGTACTGTATCTCACTATGCTAAATTTATCTGAAGGTTAATTTGGTTCCGTATAAAAATAAAACCTGTTCTAACCTTTAAGTTTTCCGCCATAACTAAATTAGTATCACGGCTCAAGCGACTGTATCTTTTGCAATATAAGACTTTATTATATTAATTTTTTTTCTTTGTTACTTTAATTACACGTCTAATATTAGAACTTTACCGACTTTCTAAGCTTAAACAAAGAAATTGATTTTGAAAGTATATGTGATTTTAGGCATTTCTTTCAAACCTTGAACGAAATGTATCGAGCATTGACATTACTTTCTTCAAAGTTTGAACAAATTATTTTGTGATGCAACAACAAAAAATGAATAAATAAATAACGAATAAATAAATAAATAGCTTATATAATACTTGGTTAAACACTCTGTGATATTTATATATTGGATAATCTCGTGATGATCCTAATATATTAATAATCATAGAATAGAATAGATAATAGAATAAGGTATAAGAAAATTGACATGGCTTTTAGCCATTCACAGGTCTATATTCTGACAATAATTTAAAAGCATGATAACTGATTAAAAAATATATATCAAACTCTATTGCTATTTAATATAACTTCGGTAGAAAATAAATTATCCCAATTGGCTGTTACATAATTAACAATCCTCAGGTATATCAATAACAAAATTAATCGGTTTACTTCCTAAGAACGAATTAACTAAAAACAAGTTCATAGTTAATTTATAATGGATTCAGCTTGAATAAAACTAATAGTATTTATATCCAAATACCTTTGCTTGTTATTCTCGATGTATTTATACTATTGGCTCCGGATGTTTTTGAGGTTTAATTTCCAAGGTTTTAATCATTTTGTCAGCAGTCAAATATTTGTCTTTTATACAAAGTTTATCCTTGTATTTATATTCCTCATCTGTAATATATTTATATTGATGATAAAGGTTTAAGGCAACATTATTAGCAGTAGGTCGTTTCTGCGGATCGGAATCCATACATTGTTCAGCTAATTTGATATAACAATCTGGAGTTCCATGTGCAAATGCTGGACGCAATCCTTTAACAATCTTAGTGGCAAGGTTGGTATTAAACGGCATACCATCAAAGGTCTCTGCCCAGTTGACATTTCTGTCATAATAATGCCTAGTCCATAAATATCAGCTGCTGTTGTATAACAATTACCTAATAAAACTTCAGGCGCAACATAGAGCATAACTCCAAAAATTTCATCTGTTGAAATATTTTCAATTTTTTTAGATAATTCAAGGCCTGAAATATAAGTTGTTGTTCGATCTATTAAAATATTTCCACTATGAAAATTACAATGTTTATATCCTGCTATGTGAATTTTTGCTAAATCACTAGATATATCTATAAGTTGCAATAATTTATTTTTCCAGGTAAGCTTAGTAAAATTATTTTCTAAATATTCATGAAGATTTCCACCTTCGGCAAATTGAAATACCATCAAATATTCCCCAGCTTTAAGATTAAGGCACCCATTATTCTCTATATTTTTAGTTAATCCATATATCTCTTGTTCACTACCATTTAGTCTGCACTCCATATGATTTTCAAACTTTTAAATGAATTTATTTTAATATTTTACTTCATATATTTAAATAAACATTTAAGTATATGACGAAACTTACTTCTTTTAAAAAATCAAAAGACTTTCCCTGAGAAACAGATAAAGTTTTGAGAGCAACTTTATTTAATTTTCTACGATAGTTTACGTATTTTGCATTTTCATTCTTAATAGATCGTATGCCATCTGACCAGATTGCAGAAAATACTGTATCAAAACCCCCATCGCCAATTTTTTTAACATTTTTCAGTCTATCATATGGAATCCATTCAATCACTTCGGAGTACATTATAGCTTTACGTTGAAAATCTTTAATACAACTATCAATCTCACTATCACCACTTGAACTTCCTTGCTGAACATTTATTTCGGGATCACATTCCTGACACCAGGCATAAAAGGTGTTAAACTGTTTACACTTTTTACAGCTTCCATAAATGGAAGATCTATGTGAATTAATCGATTTAGATGTTATAAGACGCTTAAAGTTTATGAAACAAATGAATCATAAATTAATAGGGATACTCACCGCCTAGTTAAACACGCAAGTGAAAATGATATTTAATAATAAAGTGAGTAATAATTTTATAAATAAACTATATACTTACGCCCTGGTAATTTAATAGAAAGCGAAAGAACAGGAAAGTAATATTTTAATTGAGAATAAAATGTGTGCATTGTTTTATGAATAAACTGCAGTACATATATGCTTACGCCCTAGTAATTTAACACGTAGGGAAATAACAGATAAGTAACATTTAATAGAGTTCTATTGACAATAAAATGTCTGCGTTATTCTATGAATAAACTATACACATACTTCCTGATAATTTAGCACACAAGCGACAGGGCAGGGAAGTAATATTTAATAGAGAGCTCTATTAACAATAAAACGTTTACACTATTTTATGAATAAACTATGTGATGTACTTACGAACTGGTAATTTAGCACGTAAGTGAAAGAATAATGAAGTAATATTTAATAGAGAATTCTATTAATTATAAAATTAGTGCATTATTATTTATAAACTATAATTACCGTCTAGTAATTTGACATGTAAGTGAAAAAAATAGAGGTAATATTTAATT